CGGAATGAGCATTACTGCAGATGTGTACTATGAAGAACTGAATACTTACAATGATGGCGATGCTCGCAGGTTTCCACCAGCTTTAGTCAATCGCTCATCCCCGCTGCACCTGCACGACAACCCGCGATCTCATACTGGACAACAGGCAGTATCCAAGTTACAAGAGCTGGGATTGTAAGCTCCCCGTCATCCGCCGTAAACACCAGACATTGCACCTACAGACTTATACTTTTTCCAGAATTTGGATAACTTTTTGGTGGAAAAAAAATTCAATGCCCGAGAGACAGTACAAAATGTCTTTGAAAAATTTGCTTTTCCAGCTGATTTCTTCAAGAAGGGCATCAATAAACTGCCACTGCGTTGGCAGATGTGCATCGATTGCATGGGTGATTACTTTGTTTAATAGGAAGGAAAAAAAATAGCAAACTAATTACGTTTACTTATGTCATAAAAAACGGCGATTTCATAGGTATAGACCAAATATTATAAATATTTTAAATTTGAAAGTTTGTTTGGATGTTTGGAGAAAATTAAAATTACACTTCATTTGCCTGTACTATAGATACTACTGTGCCTGTACTGTATATAGATAGTACTATAAAGTAACTAATCAAATGGATATCTTAATCTTCAAAAAGTCCGTCATACACTATATCTATCTGTCATCATAGATAAGTCATACTAACTTCTTTGCTTCTCTATTAATAAAAAATATGAAAATCTTGATTTGGACGCATTTTATGATACCATGTATTTCTACATCGTAACGAATATTTTCTTCTCGTTAAATCATAAAAAATGGATATTTAGTTTTGGCAACACTATTGAATGAAAATAAGCCGCGCGATGATATCGCGTGTTTTACACAACTCGTTACTAAATGGCGCTACGCACATTATCACAGATTTTTCAGTTTTTATGTAAAAAGTTAAGAGAATTTCCCATTAAGAAAATTCAAATTTGTTTACTTTTTGTTCTTGTTGTGTGAACAATAATAGATAGAACTATAATATCTAATATTATTTTTATATGAAACTATAATTGCATAACAGGCCACAACTTTATCGGGAGAAACCAAGGGCCAAGAGACTAAGCTATATTACACGCATTCCTATTATACTAAAACTAAACAATCTACCGTTTAATTTTAAACGATTGTAATTGCCATTAAAAGAAATATTTTCAATACAAATTAACAATAAATCCCAGGATCAAAGTTTAAAAGTAGCGGAATTGTATTTAGGTACGGCATAATTTTCAAATTCTCAGCTCTACATAGTTTGCGCACGTGTTTCTAGGGCTCAAAATCTGAAGGATTTCAATTTGCGTAACAAATATTTTACTGTAGTCTATGGAAGTGTATTGCAGTAGGTTACAGCAGTAATTTCAATAATAAAAAATTCGTCGGCTAGTTATTATATAATAGCTGATTTATTATAAAAGAAGAGGAATGAAATTCGCAAGGTACTGTGCCATAGATGTGCACAAATAAGTAACTTATGTGTGTATGTTGCCGCTAAAGCAGATAAAATAAAGTGCACACACATGAAGCACGGTCCTTAGTCACCTATATCCATCGAGTTCCTGCATGAATAGAATAGAATAATTTTTTATTCAATATAGATCACATGTGTAATTCTTATTGAAAGTAATTTTTTACTTTACCACTGGTTCGAAAAAAAACCTCTGTCCTGGGAAGAACCAGCAAGAAACCCAGCGGGACTTTTTTTTAAAGCAAATTTTACAATAATGGCTGTACAAACTATATAAGTACAAAATTTATTTTAGAAACAGCTTGGAAGCGATCACCTCATTCCCAGGGGTTATTATGAACCATGTATTCATTTATTTATATTATAATAACCCCTTTATACAGTTTCAACTTAACAAAACATTTAAACTTGCTAATAGAGAGAGCCTGTACACTTTTCGGGACCTTGTTGTAATAGCGTATACATTGCCCCAAGAATGAATTACTGACTCTGTGGAGTCGAGAAACTGGTATCACTAGCTTGTGTTTGTTCCTAGTGTTTACGGAATGTATATCACTTTTTTTACTAAAACTACCTTCGTTTTTGTGAACATACATTAAATTTTCGTAAATATACTGAGAGGCCAAAGTTAATATATTTATTTCTTTTAATTTATCTCTAAGAGACTCTCTCGGTTTTAGGTTGTAAATAGTTCTAATGGCCCTCTTCTGTAAAACAAAAATAGTTTCTGAATCAGCCGCATTCCCCCATAGCAAAATCCCATAAGACATTATGCTATGGAAATAACTGAAATAAACTAATCTAGCTGTCTCGACACTAGTGAGACCTCTAATCTTTTTTACAGCATAGGCTGCAGAACTTAGTCTGCTTGCTAGTTTGGATATGTGGGGGCCCCACTGAAGCTTTGCGTCGAGAGTGATGCCAAGAAAAACAGTGGATTCAACAGGGCTCAGTTCATCCCCATTTAAAAACACATTGGTACTCAGATTTTTAACATTCGTTGTTCTAAATGTATTGTAAATGTATTGTACATGTATTACCAGGTCATCACTCCGTCTAACGAGGCGTCGCCCTACACTGCGCTTACCGGTTTGATGCTTGAGAACCTTTCTTCCCCATCGGTTAAATACACTTAAACCACTTAAATGAAAGCATTCTGATCACGTTCATATATAATTATGAGCTAAGATCCCTTTGCCTTCCCTGCACTGGAAAATATCTAAGGAAAAAATATTCCAAAAAAAAAGTTATACCTACAATGTGCAATGTAAGACAAATTTTTGGCATTGTTTCCACACTATTGGTCGAATTTCTACAGGTGGTATTAATATGTTTAATTATACGAGACGACGGCTATAATTACTCTTAATACAAATATAAAGTGTAGTTATAACCGAGCAGAAAGGCGTTCCACTTAATTTTAATATTGTTGAAGTTAGTACGTAGTGAATGTCGCAAAATTTTCCAATAAATGCATGCCAGGTGGCGCATACTTGGAAAGGCCTATGCAAAACGGAGTAATTATATACTATTTCATCATAAAGAAACACTTTAATAATAATGTATTTCAAAAGCCTGCATCCAATCTCTAAATAATGAGAGAAGGCCTGTTCTGTGCATTAGCAGTTTGTAGACAGTTACTTGATTTTACTACATAGAAACTGAGTACTGGATTAATGGAGCTCTTCATAATAAAAACACAAGCATTTTAAACTTACAAGAAGTGGTTTATATGTTTAACAGCGTTACTAGTACTTAAAAAAATTATATCTTTAAATGACCAGAGAATTGAAGAACAAAACGAACAAAAGAGTACAAAACCTTTCCAACTGCACCAAAACTGCAAGGTAACTTGTACCAAAAATACAAGGGAGGCACGTACAGTGTACACTTTAACTATTTTAAACCAATGCTTGAATACTATCGATCGCTTTGCGTGTATTTTAGACGACTACAATGAAAAAACATTTTTTTTTTGCAGCCTCGAAAATTCCACGTTAAATTTTATTGTTTGCAGTCTGTTGAACAGAAAAGGATAGAAAAATAACCTAACCACACTACTAAAATACAATTCAAAAGAGAATTTTAGGATTTCACCCGCATGCTAACATTTTCTAAAATTTTGTTATTCATATTCAATAAACTTGTAGCAGCTAACGAACGTACGTTGTAGCCCGCAGACGAGAGATTGAATGCTGTTACGAGAGCCAATCAAATCTTATTGTTTGTTTGATATAACAACATCGATGCAGTGCAAAATTTGCTTATATCTAATATAACATATCAAGCTAGTTGGGATATTACATTGACTCAGGCACTAGACTAAAAGTTTAGCGACTTAAGCCATTTTGTTTCAATAACTTTGTTTGTCAGTTATTTCGAAATTATTTTTTCTTATTTCTTAATTCAAATCTAGAATACGTTTGTTACGTAGAAAACTTCAATCAATTTACCACCTTTAGACCCTATTTACCTAGTATATCCATAAGTATTATTTTATACGTGGTAGAGCCATGCTGCAGCTATATTAGTAGTATAGTTGTAGCACGAATGGGTCGGCTCGACCGGGGAAGGACCACGCTCTCACAGAATACCAGCGTAAAATAGCAGCTTAACGCTGCTGTGTTTCGTATGGTGAGTGTAGAAAACCGGAGATCCTTTTTACTGGAAACGAGGCATTCCATCTTAATCCTCTGGGGTGACAACGCATCTGCATTAATGAGATTCTTAAATGAGCATAAATGTCTATGGGCCGCAGCAACCACTTACCATCAGGTGGACTGTGTGCTCGTTTGTCACCCTATCCTATAAAAAAAAATGTTAAGAAAGTTGCGTGTTTAAAAAAACACTGGATTTATTTTTCTTATCGAAGTCTAAGCAATTATATAAAAATAATTATAGCTGTATTTGGATTTAAGCACCATCTGCAATTTGGCCACTGCTAGCTCTAAAGAATTCTAGTTTCAATGTTGAAGTAACTTTTGAGCAGGTCATGCCCACTAGTACTTACCACAATTGTAATCCAACGTGTTCAGATCTACACTATGTCTTATAAAGTCATCATGTCTTATAAATGTACCTACGTATATTGTTGATAAAACTAGCTTCTGCTTGCTGATTCGCATACAACCGTAATTTTTGTACCTATTTTTATGTTACAGTTATATTAAGTTTGTTTTCGTGCTGAATTGATCGGTTTGAAGTCTAGCGTGAAAAAACGGCTTAATGCTACTGTGTTTCATATGGTGAGTGTAAAGAACCGGAGACTCTTTTTAATAGGAAACGAAGCATTCCGTCTTAGTCGTCAGGGGCGACAACGCATTTGCATTTTGATTTTTAATCGAAAATATTCAATCCCATTATGGCACCCAGTATCTCATAGATTTAAAACAAATAAAACAAACAAAGAACATCAATATGTACACATTTTTATTTCTTTAAATAGGTCAACGACTGTCGTGTAGATAGAAAATAACAGCTTAGCTTACTAATCCTTCAGGCTTGAATTTACATGTGTTGTCTGATGAAGCTTAGGAAGGAGGTAACCCTAGCGAAGGCAGCCGGTTGGTTTCTCTCGCAACCGCGAGCAGAACCGAAAGAGGTGACACCAATCTGAAAATCGACAATAATGTTAACATTATCTAAAAAACTTTTTTGAAAGCCCATCTTTTCCAGAGGAACTGTAGGGTGTTCTCACTAAGCCTATACTATAGTTTATCAATAAACACTTCAAATTAAGAACATGTGTCCTTGAAGCTATTGTATCGCGAGAGGGGATCGCTTCACCTTATATCAGATATACCATGGACGCCATTCCTGCTCCCATAAACTTCTTTCTAGTAAGATGGTTTACGTTTTTGTTCTTGTCCTCTTGAATAAAAATCATCTTAATTATATATTCTTCGTAATAAGATCTTCTTATTACCATTTTTTATAATTTATATTTTTTTAAAATAAATGTCTACGAGGGTCACAAGTCTTGAAGCTTCAAAAACATGTTCCTAGTCCGAATAATAAAGTTTTCTATGAAATCGCTTATTAAGCTTATTTTGGTGATGCACATGATGTAGCCTATTTACAAAATTTTGAAATGTTCGCGGCCTATGACTGGGTTTTTATAATGTTATGGCTGCAGTACACGTTGGCCGAGCGCGCTTGGCGAGCGCGCTCGGTAGATTTTCGTGGTGCCGTTCACACTTTGGCGTGTTTCATTCTGCGTTGGTAGCTAGATGATGATGGACGTTAGGGTGATCGCGGCCCCTGTAATTTATTTATACTTCACTTTCCTCAGAGAGAACGAAAAAGAAACTACATATTATACAACAATAATCCAAGTTGGTCCTTTTTAGGGTTCCGACCTCACAAGGAGAAAAGAAACCCTCATAGGATCTACTAGCTGACCCGTACCCGATTCGCTGGAGTTTTTTTTTTCAAAATAAAAGATAGCCTAAAAGAAGCCCCTAAGCTACATTATCCCTGAGCAACATAAACTCAGAGATAATTTATAATAATATTTATCATTAGGTAGGTACTCTGAAATCGCAACTATACGTGTATTATTTAATGCAGTTAGGCAAGTTGTTACTCGGTTTTTATTTTTATATTGCTCATGTTTGGGGTTCCATATAACTGATTCATTGTGACAATCAATCAGTGAACCTAAATATTTCGTCATCAGTCCATGTCGCCATGTTGAAACAATTTTATTAAGCCGACACTACAGTCTACTCCGAAGCGTAACTATGAACTGAACACTCGGCCAACGTGTGATCGCTGTTTGCGGCTTGTGCCAAATTTCTTTGATTTGTGCACGGAAAACCGACACTATACGGCTCGTCGGCGATTGTTGGCCGCGAACGCCAAATATATACAAAACAAAACGGCCAATGTGTACTGGAGCCCTTAAGTATGTTGTCATTTACGAGCCTGAAATTTAATCACAGTAAAAAATATCTAGTCAGAGAAAATTGTAAATGCTACTTAAGTGAAACAAATTTATACGCTATGACATGTAAAGCTTGTTCTATAGAAAATATTTACAAAAACTGTTATACTACGTTAATTACAAACACATTAATATACAAGTTATAATTACCAAGATTGGCCTGTTGTTTTTGACTGTTATTAGAGGACCACCGGAGTCACCCTGGCAGGTTCCGACGCCGCCTGCTCCAGAAGTGCAAATGTTGGAGGATTGAACAATCAATGGGAACGAACGTTGGCACACGCTGTTCGTGATCACAGTCAATGACACGTGACTCAGGACCTGATTGCTTGATATTTGGCCATCTGTAAATTTTATAATTATGATTAGATTTTACATTTTTAGAACGTCAGGTAGCAGTTTATAAACCGCATACTGCGAATTACATTTTTTTTTAAAGTTAAAAACGTAGTTAAGATATGGTTCTTATCACCATAGCAAATTACTATATATCTAATTAAAATTTATACCACTTTTGGCGTTGCATGACGTCATAAAAGGACTCCACAACCTTTTTCATCTCGTAGTTATTATAAGAAGCGATTGTGATATAGATATCAATAACTCTTCAATCTAAATATAATGTGGATGTCTTCCAGGCTAGTGTGAATAGGCTTTTGTTAATCTAAGTCAGTGTGTTTTACCATTTCGCCTGCATCATCATTTACCATCATGTGAGATACTAGTGGTTAAATCCAAGAACATCTGTAACACTCATGTAAATTTTGGTATCTTGGCGGCTGTTTTGAAAAGTATAGGCTCTTTTCGTAAAAGTTTTTTATTTAGTATCGATCCGAAGCAACCGCTCGTTATAGTAAATTCCAATATAATACATTTTTGTTTGACATAAATAAAAGTAAAATATCACTTACTATCTCTAGTTAGACCGAAACCAGAAGCAGTAGCAGTTACACCCACGAAGTTGTCATTTACTTCCGAACCGGATGGCAGGGCGATAACAGCAATTGTATCTGTAAGTAAACAAATAATTAGAAGCTCCAGGGGTCAGTGCTCGTTTAATAATTTTATAATAGTCGAGCAAACGGTGTTCTATCCCCGCCAGTACTACTAATGATATAATTTATTTTTTAATGGTATACTTGTTGTTATAATATAAAAAAAATCTCAGGAAACGGAAGTTGTGCGCGCATAAACTAGCGAAAATTCGACCACGTAAAGTTGGCCAGCAAAGAGAATTCAATGTGACTAACTTCACTTGTTTCACTTCACAGTTTATAACATTATGATATATTTTTAAATAGTTTTAGAGTCATACCGCAACGATACGAACTCTAAAAATTAAGAGCATTGCATGCACATTGAGATTGAGTTCCAGAACGTAATACATAGCGATTCTGCAGAAAGAATCGACAGAATCTTTAACAGTTACTGGAATAATTGTCTTAAAACTTAGTATACACATTGGTGATGATAATGAAGACCTGACGTTAAAGCCCGGGTAATCTCGGAAAATACATTTATATAGAATATGTTAGACTATTACGAGTACATTATTTTAAGTTTTCTTTAAAATCAATATAAATATATATTAACGTTATTCATAAAATGAATGAAGAACTCACTTGACAAAGCAACATTTCTAGGTAAGCGGATGACTGCAACGTCATTACGGACCATAGATGGATTCCAATTGTTGTGCACGACAACTTGCGTAGATTGTAGGCGGGTACCACCGCTGAAAAGCGTTATTGACCCAAGAACGACTGTGAACCTCCACCCTTGGTTCTGTCCATCATACCAGCAGTGAGCTGCAGTAAGCACACTCGACGCAGAGATTAAGGAACCGCCACACACACCATTACCAGACGTGCCCACAATATCAGAGATGAGACCAGCCTGCACAAAACATTATATCAATTAATACATCATGATTTCTTTCTTTTATTAGTAAAAATATTATCAATAACATAAGGAGTATGTTACCTTCAATGTTATTACGTTACGATTTTGTCTTAAAGAGTTCCGACATATATTCAATAATTGCCAGTTTATATTGAAATTTGCAATTTATATCGAATATTTTCACCGCATAGTGGCGGTGATAGAATATCCACTACCCCATGTATCCCGTGGGTGTCGTAAGCACTGGCAGAAAAAAGGAGGTGAAGTGAACCATAAAATAAACATCAGCGTCTTCCTGATAACTGCGGTTGCTAAACCGTTTGTTGTTCTCCCTCATGTCCATAAATATTCCTCGTATTTGACATAGTTGCTACAACTATGGCAAAAATACGAGTATGAGGGGATATTTGCTATAAGGTATTCTATGGGGGAGGGCTATGTTCAGCAGTGGACTTTTGTTAGCTGTAATCGTAATGGTATCAAGTATTTAGTTGCTCACTATTCCTCGCTCAAAGACTAAGTATAGCCATTCAGCGGGGAAACGCAGCAAGCGTTCTTGGCACGATACCGCGGGGAGTAGGACTATATGATAATTAAGTTTCTAGTTTTAGTTTTTTTTTTTATTATCATAGTTTTTAATATTGTAAATAAATTGTATTTAAATACCGAACTCGAAAAAAACTAATAAATAACTAATATACTTCAGATGTTAGATATCACTTACAGGTGTTGCAATAAAATATTTTAGAGGTATGATGAGTTAACTAATTTAGATACATATTTAAATTATTGTTGAAATAAAGTTTAGTACTTAAGGTATATATTATAAGGTACAATATATTCAATATAAGTTTAAAATATTTTAAATTTCATACTTTTATTGGATATATTGTATGTTATAATATTATTTGGGTATATAAGTAATAACATATTCAAAAACATTGTATACTTATTAATTATTTAAATATTTGACTGTAGTAAAAACTTTTTTCTAATAAGATTTTATAGATTTTTTGCTTTTGCTGCATTTTATTACTTAAGTCTTAAATATTGGCCGTCATATTTAAGAACCAATAACGTTTTATAAATAAAGAAATCATCACGCTTACCTGCCACGGGAATTGTCCCAGTCTGGCCGCTGAACCACCAACAATCCTTACATGGCCATTCAGGTATTCTTCTTCGGCTTTCCTTATTCTTTCTGCAGCAGGAATACCGTAGTTCTTTAAGTACCCATAAGCAGTATTGTATTCTGGTATTTCTGGTTGGAAGGACCTTGCGTTAGCAAAGGCAAAAATACCAACAAGAACCAGAAGTAGCTTCATTGTGAAATTTTGAGAAATCTGCTCGTCTGCTGATTTGAAATGGTTCTATATATAGTGGTCCTTAATACTTGCAAAAAGATAAATCGATAGATTAAAATATTAAAATGATATAATTAAAGAAGATAAGGTGAAGTCATTCATCAAAGCTTAAAAGATTGTAAAAGCGGATATTTAAGTGTACGTAGGTATTTTAATTTGGAAATACATTGTTACGTAATATCTATTTTATTTTAGTTGGGCTATTTCCTAGCCAGCATGAGATGCCTCGAGCCTATGGTAACCAAGTTTGACATTCCGGTAAGCTAAACAAAGTTTGTGAGTGTAAACGGCGCAACATTCAACTAAAATAAGATATTTTCTCAAAAAGTTGAATCTTTTGATTTTTTTTTTGTTTTTTTGTTAAAAAAAAACGTTACCCCCACACTAGGATTTTCTCCTGTGTCGTGGAGGCAGTTTACAAACATAAATTGCACGAGGACAAACATCCAGTCATACAAATCCTTGTTCCGTGCGGGATTCGAACCCGCGGCCCCCAGCGCAACAACTCATTGCTAAGCTACTGCGCCATGGAGCCGTCAATTCCAATTAAATTTTATAATAATAATAATAATAATAATAAGGCGTAGGAAAGTGACGACCCCATCGCCCGCTGATGTAACAGTTAAGTGACAAAACTGCTATGTCAGCGCAGTCAGTCAGTGCCTTGCCAAGAGGTGTGAGCGCCGTGCCTCGGCAGTATTGAGGGTGCAAAGGCCCGTTTGTGCTTACGGCCACACTATTAAACGGCGCCGGGTCTGGGCGTCTCCCGTTAATTGACGCCCAATTTAATGGATGATGGAAAATAATAGAACGCGCATAGGGCCGCTGCCTGGGGGTCGCCGGGGCGCGTCTGGAGTTGGCGCTGGACGTGACAGCATGCGAGCCGCCAGCCAAGCGCGAGGTGCTGCACGACCACCTAGCAGCCCCTCGCGTCCATCATCCCCACCAGACGGCTTGGTGTCGGCGGGGTCCTCTCGGACTCGGCAAGCGGCACCCGCCGCTGGTGGAGTACGCCGCATGCGTTGGACAAAAAATATGAACATAAACGCATTGCGGGCGTACTATAGGGCGAAAGGGGAAGAAACTGGAGGGATAGCGTATCGGGTTCGGATGCATCGCTTTTTTGCTGAGCTTGAGCCGTCAGTTCCCGTCACGGAGCAAAACCTGGCAGACCGAGTTCGGTACATCATACGCTCGAAAATATTTGATGATGCCGAACTCGAACGACTACGACGTGAGGCTATTCCCTCATCGAATGAACCGGCTATAGCTGGGGATGCGGCTCTTCAGGCCACAGACCAGCAGCCACATATAGAGGGCGCCATGGATCTCCCTGCTCTGGTTGATTCAGGCGATGATGGAATGGTCACCCAAGAACTAGAGTAGATGAGGAGTAAATTGGAGGAGGCGATTGTGGAAACGCGCAGTACGCCTCTCGAAAATCGACCGCGACTCCCGCGCATACCCCTAAGCAAGCGGAATCGGGCTGTCGTGAGGGCTCTCAACCCAATGCTGGTGACCTATTTGGAAGCCAGCCAGGACCTTTACGAGACGGACTCAATTCTTTTTGTCGCCGCACTGGCAGTTTGCCGTATTGTTGGCGCCAAACTTCCCACGGCTGGACGCGCTACTAGACAAAGTAGCGCCATCCCAGCCTGGAGAAGAAGGATTGAGGACCGTATCGTAAAGGCAAGGGCCCTCATCGGCAGGCTGATAAGCTTCAGGTCGGGCAATAATAGGCCGCGAATTGTGCGCACCGTCAGAATGGCGTTTGCTGGGACAAATATCAGTTTGTCCCAGCCGGATATAACGCAAAAACTGACGGAGCGCATAGACGACCTGAAGCAGAGAATCGCTGCTTGGGGGAAGCGGATTCGGCGATATACCGAGAGGTCGACACGGTTCAACCAGAATCGTTTCTTCCAGAGTGATCAGAAGAGGCTATATAAATCATTGGAGCGACCAATGGTACGTGGAACGGGCCAAGCGCCGAATCAGGCCGACACTGTCGCATTCTGGCGCGGCCTGTGGTCAGAGCCCGTAAACCACAGCGAGGGCCCTTGGACGGAAGTTGTGGTGAGTCAGTGTGCGAATCTTACTCCTATGGACCCCGTCATTATAACGCCGGACGATGTAGCTGAGGCGGTCCGAAGGGCCCCGAACTGGAAAAGTCCGGGGCTCGACGGGCTGCATCACTACAGGCTGAAGGGGTTCGTGGTGTGTCACGCTGTGCTCGCCCGACAATTTCAAGAGGCTCTCGACCAAAAGTCGCTCCCGAGCCTCTTCACTACTGGGATCACTCATTTGGTTCCTAAAGACCGGGATACCATAGACCCGAGCAAATACCGCCCCATCACGTGTCTACCCACAATATATAAGACCCTAACATCCATTTTGAGCGCGAGAATCACTCGTCACCTGAACTCAAATCAGGTGATGTCGCGGGCTCAAAATGGATGTCGGGGTGGTGGTCGTGGAACCAAGGAACCACTCCTCATTGACGCGGTCATTGGCAAAGTGGTTAAACGCAACCGTCGGAACCTATCCGCCGCCTGGATAGACTACAAAAAGGCATTCGACTCGGTGCCTCATACATGACTGAAGAGGGTCCTCGAGCTGTACAAGGTTGACTGTACAGTTAGAGACTTCCTCGGGCAGTGTATGGGGCGGTGGAGTACGATCCTTTGTCATCTAGGCGAGCGGATGACGGCTGCGGAGAACCACATAAGGATAAGAAGGGGTATCTTCCAGGGCGATTGTCTGAGTCCAATCTGGTTCTGCCTCTCTCTGAACCCTCTCAGTACCTTACTGGAGGGCTCCGGGAGGGGATTTCAACTTCGGAGGGGAGGTACAAAAGTGACCCACCTTTTCTATATGGATGATCTCGAGTTATTCGCCTCCAGTCGCTCTCATCTTGTGGAATTGCTAAACATCACTTGTGATTTTAGCAATTCTATTGGAATGGGGCTGGGGACGGATAAGTGTGCGGTCCTCCATGTTGAAAGGGGAAGGGTTGCTAACTCTGAGGGCATAGATTTATCTATGCCCATCAACATGAGGACCCTTTCCGAGGCTGAAACATACCGATACCTGGGTATGTCACAGAACATCGGTGTTGATGAGGCGGGTATGAAACAGTTAGTTTGCGATGTGTTTTATGCACGCTTGACCAAAGTGCTTAACAGCCTTTTGTCCGGTGTGAATAAGACGCACGCATATAACGGTTGGGTCATGCCTGTTCTCATGTATACCTTTGGCATACTTAGGTGGACTCAGACCGAACTAAACGCTCTGGACAGAAAAGTCCGCACTATAATGACGCCCCACAGGATGCATTATCCGAGATCGTCAGTAATGAGGCTGTACTTGCCGCGGAAGCATGGTAGGCGCGGCTTTTTAAGCGCGCTTACCATGCATAATCGCGAAGTGTGCAGCCTCCGTAATTACTTTCTGACGAGAGCGGATGATCCATACTATAGGGACGTTATTTCTTGTGATAAAGGACTGACCCCTCTATCCTTAGCCAACGAGCAATGGCAAGACCCAGCAGTACAGTACATTTCCGACCGGGAGGCCGTATGGAAGGAGAAGGAGCTCCACGGGAGGTTTTACAAGGCTCTACATGAGCCTTTCGTAGCCACAGTCGCCTCCCTTCACTGGCTACGTTTCGGTGACCTCTTTGGGGAAACCGAGGGTTTTGTCTGTGCGATACAGGATCAGGTTATTAAGACCAACAATTATCGGAGATCATCCTAAAGGATGGCGCCGTCGACATCTGTCGAGCTTGTCGCCATCCCGGTGAGTCACTTAGGCATGTCATCTCCGGTTGTTCGGCGCTTTCTAACTCTGAGTATTTGCACAGACACAATCTAGTAGCCAGGATTCTACACCAGCAGCTCGCTCTGAAATACGGCCTCGTGGATCGGAAACTGCCGTATTATAAGTACTTGCCGGAAGCCGTGCTCGAAAATGACCGCGCCAGGCTCTACTGGGACCGGGCCATCATCACAGACAGGACTATTCTTGCGAATAAGCCTGATATTGTGCTGATGGACCGGGCACAGTCAAGGATCTTTTTGGTCGACATTACCATTCCTTATGACGAGAACCTCGTGAAAGCCGAAACAGATAAGGTGACAAAATATCTGGACCTAGCTCACGAGGTTACCGGCATGTGGGGTGGTCTGCCGACCGAAATTATTCCTGTGGTCGTTTCTGCGAACGGGTTAATCCCAGTCAGCCTCCCGGGTCATCTGAGGCGACTGGGACTCCGTGACGGACCGCTCCAGGCTCAAATGCAGAAGGCGGTGCTCCTCGATACCGCCCGCATCGTCCGCCGGTTTCTTTCCCTTTCCCCCTAACCCTCGGCCGTCTGGTCTCCCCTGCCGAGGGCTTCCATCTGGTTGGGTTTTTATATATTTATGTATTTTTTATGTATTTATTTTATTTTATTCATATTTATGTATGTTTACCATTTTCATTTACAATTATATATTTATACTGCCCAACCAGATGAGAAAACTTTATAGATACCCCAAAATAATAATAATAATAATAATATTTTATCTTTCGAGTATAATAATAATATCTTTATTTTAAAGAACCTTAAAATCTTTCATCAATTTCAATCTTCAAAAATTAACCCTAAAGTGGTGGTGTAAAATATCCACTAGCCCACATCGTCCCGTGGGTGACAGGGGGAACTTGAAACATGAGATGGGAAGCAGCATCTTCCTGATATCAAAATTAAAAACAACTGCTATGGGGGACATGTTTAGCAATGGTACTTGATAGGCTGTTAACAAAGACATTTAAGTAGTAGTATATATATATTTTAAATCTCTTTGGCTGTAAAGAATCTCAAGTGCTGACATGAAAACTTTTAGGCATCTAGGCACTACTCTATAGCTCTATATTACCGAAATTATATAAGATATAAGAATATTTTAATTGAATGTTTA